GGTGACTTGATCCACTAGTAGAAAAAGGATTAAACGTGAAGTATATTAGTGCCGGTTTGTAAAAAACCCGGCACTAATGTGATCAATAGTGCCGGTTCGTAATGAATCTTTAGTATCGGTTCGTGCCACGAACCGGTACTAAAGGGGTGGTGGCAGGCTGGCGTCAGGCCAGGGCCCCACGAGCCCCTTTAGTGACGGTTTGTGACACAAATCGGTACCGGTTTGTGTCACCAACCGGCACTACAGAGTCTTAACCTATAGTCCCGGTTGAAGACACAAACCGGCATTATAGGGCAATTTTCAAACTCTACCCCCCCCCCCGCGTATGAAAATGATAAAAACTTCAAAAAATAAAATCCTTCGAGAGGTAGTTATATTACTACATCTACACGTTAGGAAAATTTGAAAACTTAAATTTGAACATGTTTTGCAAAAAGTGTATGGAAAATGTAAAATGGCTATAACTTTTGCATACGATGTTGGAAAAAAACATATAATATATCAAAAAATTCAGCACGAAAATCCGCATCCGATGGAGACCGCCTATGGCCTGTTTGCAATTTTTTAGAAAGATATGGTCAAATTTAAGTTTTTTTAAATTTTTTTGTTAAATCTGGTCAAACTACTTATTCAAGAAGTATTAATGTTACTACATAAGTATTCAAGAATATTAGTGTTACTAAATAATTATTTCAATTTTTTGAATTTTGGTCAAATCTGGTCAAACTATGGTCAAACTGTGGTCAAACTATGGTCAAACTTATTCAAGAAATATTAGTGTTACTAAATAATTACTATTTTTTAGAATAATAGTTTCAAACTCAAACAGTGAAATGTGTGACTTCATGCTCAAGCTAAATTCCTGAGGGTTAATAGGATTGACATTTTACTATTGTCAGGAAAACAACAAGTGCAAACTTGGAAACGAAGGAGAATAGAACTTGAAAGTTAAGCATGCTCGGGCTGGAGTAGTGAGAGGGATGGGTGACCGATCGGGAAGTTAGATGATTTGGAATGAGTGATCCGTACTTGAGCAGTTAAGAGAGGTGATTAGAGACTAAATCACCAAATAATTCAGAAAAATTAAAAATCGAAAAAAATCAAAAAAAAATTCCAAAAATTAAAAAAAATTAAAAAAAAAACCCTTTAGTACCGGTTGGTAACACCGACCGGTACTAAAGGTCCCCCATACCAGGGCGCGAGCTCACGCCACGTGGTGACACTTTAGCGCCAGTTCGTGCCGAACCGGTACTAAAGGGAGGGGGGGCTTTAGTGCCCACCAATTAGTGCCGGTTATGGAACCGGCACTAAAGGCCCTTACGAACCGGTTTTAAAACTCTGTTTTCTACTAATGATCCAGGTCCACAATATAACAACTAATGCATGATGCTGACAGGTATCCCATTCCCAGGGAAGAAGAATCCGAGAAAGCCATCGGTTTTGGTTCGCTGAATTATCCTCCATGGAATCTAGCTTCGTCGTTATCCGTATTATAAAAAACGCTTTTATATTATGGGACGGAGGAAGTAATATATTGCAGATATATACACTTCTGTCGTGCTATGTAGTCATGAACAACATCACACTTGTACAGTAATACCTCAATCCAATAATACAACGATGTATTGGAATTAGGACAGAGACCTTTGCCAAAGCTACTACTAATTGCTATTGGCAGCATCATGCAGCAGCAGGAGGAGGACCAGTAGGAGTAGTTGCTACGTACTGATCGGTCTCTCTAGAACTTGATGCCGAACTGGCTGCTGACCGGCTCCGGCACAGCCTCTAGAATCCCTCCCCGACAACGCTGAGTCAGCTCGACATGGATGTCATGTGGCGTGCAGCGGAAACGTACGAGAGGCCATTCATTGATTGAAGATCGTGGCCATCCATCTTCAATTGTTTGCTGTTGGTTTTGGTGATGCAGCAAAGCAGGCTTTCGTATATGGAAGAGGCCGCGTAGGCAATGGAAAGAGTAAAGTAGAACTAGAGAAGTGTAAGGGCAAGCGTCTAGAACGAGCGGTACTCGTGGTACCCCGTTGGTCCATTATCTGGCCTGGACGTTTGTTTTCCCATAAACCGAAGGCAGGGAAGGGTTACGGGAGTCCGGACAGAAGGCACGCAGGACATTTATAGCCTCGACCCACTCAAGTCCCCCTTCAATACACTTTTTCGTCAATCCTCCCTTGTTCCCTCTTACTTTATATCCGCACCTTTCTATTCCGGCATCTTGCTTCTTCTTACCCTACATATTGGTTAATTCACTCGATGACTTAATGTTGCTCTACATGTTATATAGCCTGCATGCGCTGTGGTGATGTACTATAGGACGGAGGACAGATCATTCATGTGCATACATTGTCGGATGAAACTCAAGGGCAATGTGTGTAGGACGACATATGCCGATTCTAACTATCCTTGAATTTGGAATCAATGAATTTCAAAAACTTGTTGCAAATCCGCTTATCTTGAATTTAATATTTACATTTAAACTATTGTTGGACTAGGTAAATTTGCAAGCTATTTATGGATGAATTGTGTTCTTTTCTATAATTAATTCGATTGTTACGATCTTTATAAAAATGACATTTAGGAGACAAGGACGGTCGGTTCCGCATCTAGATGTGTCCATTTTGGGGACCGAGTTAGAGATGGCCAAAGCTAATTAAGAGCATCTATAGTCGGATGCCCCAAACCCGTCTCAGACGCCCGGACGGATGGCCCAGTCACTGATCGGTTACGAAAATTCGATCCAGACGGGTGCCTTAAATGGGTCTCAAACGCCCAGCCTGACTACCACTCCTCATATCCAGCCCAAATATGGGGAGGATATGGGTCGCCCGGGCGTGCCTGCCACGTTGGACTGACGATGGGGTCCCATGCGGAATCGCCCGGAAACTTGACGGTTCGACGGACATCT